AAATCCAACAGTGATGTTATAATTATCCAGACTTTAGAGAAGGCCGTTGAAAACTACTGTGGTATTCATCAAAGTAAGAAATCATGATGGATTCTCTGGAGTTGAATGGCTGTTTGTATGGACTTGACTTCCCATTCCACACCCTCAACTACCAACAGGTGATGTGGGGAGAGAATTTGGAAAGAGATCAGCAGTGGACTAAATAAATATCTCTTCCATCTAAGCTCCCTTATTTGATCATCTTGTCCTACTTGGCCCATGTAAACTCTTTTCCTCCATCTGTCCTTTACACCAGTTGAAGCCAATCTTCCTCACCCATAACTGGCTACCATATTCGCCCAAATCCTGACATTACTTTTTTTTCATGATGCTCCCTTAGTTAGGACTATCTTCCCTTTGATTTTTCTTTTTATGTTTCTACGTTTCCAATAACACTTGTCATTTAACCCTTGTCTAAGATTCTATTTTATATGCAAAGTGTTAGCAGCAGTGTGCTTTTTGGGTTCCTCATTCTACTTTACTCTTCAGTTGAATACTTGATTACAGAATTTTATTTATTTATAAAATAAGTAATTTTTATTTATTGCAGTTAGTTACTTTCTGAACTAGAATGTATGTTCCTTGAGGGGCAAAGGCCTTTATCTCACATTGTACCTGGCACAGGTGAAACACCTCAGAGATGTGCAATAAATATTTGTAGGATTATTGACTGGTAGCCAAATACAACATTTGAGGTAGAGCAGTGAGGTGAGAAAGCACTGCAATACTTGATATTTGCTTGGTAAAATTGATTTATAAGTTTTCTAATGTCAGTCAATGAGCCCCAGGGGGTAATCTAGGAAGTGAAGCTTCTTATAGTTCACTGGCCATCTTACAAACTCTGCTTTTACGCTTTCCTTCTACATACATCACCTTCCTCGGCCAATTGTGAAAATGAAGTCACAAATATTTTGCCTTATTACATGAATCCTTCTGATTTAACCATACGATAAATCAGTAGATAGTGACAGTGTAGTTTCTAATTTCTGTCAAAAACTATGGTGTACTGCTTTATGGTAAGTTTTATTGGCTTGTCTGATTGACTGTCCCAGAGAATTGTAGACTCTTCCAAAGAAGGCCTTTATTTCCACCAATGTGATCAACCACTAGCATTAAACAACATGTGCCATGTTATTAACAGTGGAATAAGTAGAGGAGATGACCATAGGTATAGTAACAAAGAAGCTGACAGCCTGGAAATATTTACTTGATGGGTACTGTTGGTGACCCCGAGCGATGAAAATGAACATTCTGCCACTTTCCATCCCTGCGGTGCCACACGCGGGTCTCTTCTGACTGCATTGTCTTTGGCATTCCACTGCCATCCATGTACTGTGTGAGCCTAATGTATGCTATGCAGGCAGCATCGTCCCCGACCAGATGGACATGAGGATTTAGGATAATAGTGTGGATTGGTTTATTGCTTTTGGACAAAGCTGAAAAAGAACAACATGATAAGAAAACAATTAGTGCCTATGTAAAGTGAACCAAAACCAGTAATGACTCCAGTTGATAATAATAGATGAAATGCTACTTATTAACTCCTTAATTAATTAATTAATCTGGCTATTTGCACTAATCTGATGCTGGGTGCTGTCTAAAGTATAAAGGATAAGAGAAAAGAACAAAAGGGGAAACAGTTTTTTCTTTGATACCCTTTATAGACCATTTGCATGCTATTTTAGAAATTTTGATTGATTGGGAGAAAAAGCTATAAAGTGTATTTATTTGTAATGGGAAATGATTAGAAACAGAAGACATAATAGGAACAGAAGTGGAGAAGGCCAGGCGCAGGTGCTCTGAGCAGCAGCTGTCATCTCAATGAATGACCTGCTGGGGTAGTTCACAGGATAGCTTGCAGTGGAGTGTGTTTTTGGTAACGAACACAGACAAGAAAACAGCAAATATCAAGCCCAGAGACCACTGTCTCCAAGAAAGGCTGGTCACAGCGTGAATTTGTTTCTGCATCTCATCCTGTGACTCCTCCATGTAGTGCAGTCCAGTTCATGATAACCTATCTGTGATTATTTAGTGAAAATCTACAATTTGGTGTTGGCCAAATAGGTTTTAACCATCTTTCTTTTGACTAAGTAGTGCTCATGAGGCTCCCATCTCTAGTGTTTTAATAGTAACTACCTATTCTACCTACTCAGTTACCAAGAGACATGAGGACTTAGTACACATTACTTATTGATGATATTTCTCTTTGATCACTAGAACAGTTTGAACTGAAACTTGCTTCTCATTCTCAGAAAATACTATGTATATTACTCAAAATACTATAGTCACATAAAAAAGGCAGTGTCACGCTGAAATAAGTTAAGATATTAGTGGGTTAATGGATTCTTTTTACTGCTGATGAGATGATGTTGATTAAGAGTCAGATAGAGGAAATATGATATGCTGTCAATCAGAGCACTAGAACTTAGAGAATATGAGAACATTTACTAAAGCTTTGATCAGGTGAATTTGTCACCTAGTGTGCAAATACATGGTGCATATAAGTAAAAGCAATTCATAATACATGCTAAAAATCCACGTCAAGGCCAGCATTTTTATCAATGTTTATGATTACTGAAAGTGAGCTTAATTATCCTAATCATTACTACAATTTCTTTTTAAATCAACAAGATCTCACTGCAAAAACAATGAGTTCACCGAAGGCATCATGAAAATATAACTTCTAATATCATTAGGAGTAAGGGAAAGAAGAATAAGGGAATTGCTGGTTTACTCACTTTTTGATGGCCTGAGGGATTTCTATAGGAGACACTTCTGTCATTTTCTCTGAAACGTGTCTGTTTTATCTGAGACCACTAAAATTTTGAAAATAAGCACCAAATATGCTTCACAGAATTCTTCTCTGTAGAACATTCTGTGTGCTGTGGTTTTTAAATTTTTTCTTACACAAACAGTTTCAAAAACCTTGAAATAATACTTTTCTTCATAACATTATGCAGTTTATATTATACATTCCCTTGGACTTAATGGGTGCATTCCATCAAAATTATCTTTTATCCAAGGCTGGGGATGTAGCTCAGTGGTAGAGGGCTTGCCCTTGGTTGTATCCCCCACCGCCACCACCACCACAACCATCATACACCTACCCACCCATCCACACACACCCTCACCTGTACACACACACACAAAGCCTTTTATCCAAAGGCAGATGTTTTTCAAAACACAATAAACCTTTTAAGTTTGTCTGTCGGTCTGTCTCTCTCTCCTTATGTGTATATATACAGTGTGAATATATATATAAACATTATTTTCAGTTTCAAACACAAAATGCTTGTAAAATGATGCTGAACAAAGCGTTTCTTATTGCAGAAAAGAGACAAAGAGTTTGCAAATTTGGGAGAAATTTGAAGAGAAGTTGGAAAAAGCACATTGTTGAATTTGGAGTAAATGTACCATTTTCAAAGTAGAATCGGTGAAAATCCATCCCTTCCACTAAGTTACCCAAAGCTTCAGGTTCAAAGGCAGTAAGACCCGGGTCACAGATTTTTCTGTAGGAAAAAAAAAAAATAATAAAAATAGTCAATCGATAAATGTGCTGATATGTTTTGTTCTTCTCTGTGTAAAACATTCTTAGTTATCAATCAGAGAAGAAGAGAGCCCCTGAAAGCCACTAAAAATATAAAATTTCTAGCATAGACCTTGGTAGGGTGGGCTGATGAATAAAGTTCAAAGAGAAACTTTGTAGAGAGCTATAATTGGGGCAAACTAATTAACTGATTTAAATAAGTGTTTCCTTTTAAGAATGTCTACTTCTTTGTTTCCAAAGTGAATTATCCATTTGTTCTAACTCTTATTGTTCTTTAAATGTTTTCCATATTTATAGTTCAAGTCTAAGACATACACCAAGCCCTATATAAGCAGCTTTGGTTCTAAAATGAAATATTTTGGAACAATATTTTGATGAATCACACCTTCTATATTCACATGAAAAATCTATATCATAATTGACTTAAAGGTATCACATCCTATGCTTCTTGGCATGTCCTCAAGACTTAACTGAGTTTAAGTTTAAAGTTTACTTTCAAAAGAAAATAAATAGGAGGTTAAAATACACATAATAGATTTCTTCTGTATTTTTTCATTAAAATTTATTTTTTTTTCCAGAACTGGGGGTTAAGCCCAGGGGTACTGTACTACTGAGCTACCTCCTCAAACCTTCTTTTATTTTTGTAAATTTTATTTGGAGACAAGGTCTTGCTAAGTTATCCAAGCTGGCCCTGAACTTGAGATCCTCCTGCCTTAACCTCCTGAGTAGCAGAAGTGTGTGCTACTGTGGCCAGCAAAATTTCTTTAAGTTTTTTCTTTTTCTTTTTCTTTTCTTTTTTTTTTTTTTTTTTTTGGTACTCTACCCCTGAGCTACATCCCTACCCAAATTTCTTAACTATTCAATAGAAAAACAATTTTTATAAGTCAAACTATGGTTCTTCAAAGTGCAGTACTCTTCATAGAATGTGCGGCAAGGTAGGAGATCACAGCAATTACCCTGTGCTGTAAGGAAAGTCGCAAAAAGGTCAGGGGCGATGCGATGCTGAGTTTATAAATTCTGTCTGAGGTTGCCTGTGGGGCAAGTGTCTTTTAAGCTCCCGTCATATATTTAAAATCTCTTTCTATTAACAACAGTGTTCCTGGGGGAAATTCTGGGAAGTGAAATTGGCCAAATTATGTTGTTTTATTGTGTATTCTGTGCATGTAGAAATATGTAAGTCCCATCAGTATGAACAGCTATTATGCACCGATAAAAAATGTGAGGAGAAAAAAAAAAAAGAATAGTGTTCCTATGGTAACAGGAATCTATTCTGCCAGAAGCTATTATTTCCCTCTATAAATAGGAGTTTGGGTTGTCAATATCAGTGAACCAAAATTCTTACTACTTGACATCATTTCTAAGATCATCTGGGAATCACTATATCTTGATGAATATTTTTACACAACCTTCAAAAGAGTTAATATAGTTGTAAATCTGTTAATCTATTTTTTCTCTCTTCACTCATCTATCAAACAATCAGTCAATCATCTATCTCTTCTGCATTTAAAAAAGATTCACAAAGCTGCCATTTGATGTGTGTACGTGTTATGAGCAGGTGTTCTATGGACCAGTTGACAGAGCTTTAGCAATATATCCAAAATCTACCAAATGGAAGTGCTCTTAGATTATCTCTAGGCCTAAAAGTACAAAATGGGACCCAAAGCCTCTATGAGCAAAGGAATTAGTGAACCAATGTGATCCCTAGGCATTGTGTTACTTTTAATACCCCACTTTAAAGGGTCTGAGAATACGGATAATACTCTACTTTTGCCTGGCTACAATTATCCTCTGTGTCTGAATAAAAAACAATGACAAAGCACATTTTTAAAAAACCATTCCTCATGGGAATGCTATTACTAAAATGTTTTTTTTCATTGTTGTTATTTTTAAAAATAATATGATTATTTTTTGGAGAATCAGATGAGTCTAACAAGGTTAAATAGCAAAAAAAAATAAAATAGAAGAAAAGGTTCTAAGGCAGAGAGTTAAAAACAATTGTTTAATAACTGTGTCTGATGACAAAAAGTGTTCTTCTAAACTCCATTTAAAAAAAAAAACTGTTTCTTTTATTCCAAGTATATATATTTTATTTGGTCTTGTTAAAGAATCGGAGATTTATATATATATAAATTTTTATATATATTTATATATATATAAATGTATACACATGTGTTTGTATACACACAAACATTTAATTTATAAGAATCAGCACCTGATTTAATTTAGTTCTTACATTTGCTCTCTTCCATATTTTATAATTGCCTAGTGCTATAATATATAATGTCTCCCCTAGTCCCATGTGTTGAGGCTTAGTTCCAATCCCAGGGTACTCCTGGAATGTGGTAGAACCTTTAGGAGGTGGGGCCTAGTGGAAGGAAGTTAGGCTACTAGAGGTGTGGTCTTGAAGAATATATTAAGACTCCAGCACTGCTTCTTCCTCACTTTTGCTTCCCAGCCACCACAAGATAAATGTGCTTTTGCCATGATATACCGTATTACTATGAGCCCCAAACAATAGGGGCTTGTGCCCCATGACCAATGGATCATGGACTGAAACCTCTGAAAGCATGAGCCAAAATGAAGTTTTCCTCTTTTTAAGTGGACTATCTCAGGTATTTTGTTACAGTAAGGAAAGATAACACAGCTATTTGTCACTAATGAAAAAAAGGCAATACTTGCCTTTGGAAATTTGGAAAGAATAAAAAGGAAGCAGAAAAAAGATCTACCCATAATTTCATTTCTCAGAGACAACCTCTTTCTTTTTCTTTTTTAAAAAATATTTATTTTTTAGTTGTAGTTGAACAAAATACCTTTATTTTATTTATTTATTTTTATGTAGTGTTGAGGATGAACCCAAGCCTTGCATATGCTAGGCAAGCATTTCACCACTGAGCCACAACTCCAGCCCCTTTATTTTTCTTTTACAAGAGTAATTTGACATATTTCATTGTACTTTCAATGCTTTTTCTTATGTGTGAATAATTATGTACATACACCTTTATATCCTACTTTTCTTTTCAGCAAAAACATCGAAAGTATTTTGCCAGGCCACTAGAAACTCTACATAAACATAAACATCCATTGGACTAATGGCACTCAAGATTATGTAATGGTTACCATAATGTTATACTTTTATGTTGTCCCAAATTTTCAATATTATGAATATGCTTCAATATATACCTGTGTTTATAAATCTTTTACCATGTTTTAGATTCAAAATTCATGTAAAAAAGCTGGGTGCGGAAGCACATGCCTGTAATTCCAACAACTCAGGAGGCTGAAGCAGGAGGATTACAAGTTCAAGGCCAGCCTCAGCAATTTAGGAAAACCTTAAGAGATTTAGTGAAAATCTGTCTCAAAATAAAAAATTAAAAAGGCTGGAAATATAGCTCAGTAGTAAAATGCCCTGGGTTCAATTCCCAGAACCTAAATCCATGTCATGTTAAATTCTTATAAGTAGGACTATAGGATTAAAGTGAACCTTTATGAAAACTTTCTAGTATATAACAACTAATGCCCTCCACCGCTAATTCAACCAGCCTGAATGTTTGCAACCAATTATGTTCCATTCTATGGTGTAGGAAAGTCACTGTCATCCTGCAATATTTGTGCTTATCTGGTGTAAGGAGAGACTGAATACCTACTGATCTGATAATCAGAAAATGCTTTTGCAATTAGGTTTGCACATTCTTATTTAGCGGACATGAACATGCTTTTGTTAGTTTACTTTTCATTTGTATTTCCTCTTGTGTCGATAGTCTGTTCTTGTTCTTTATCTATTATTTTTGCTGCTTCTCAATTTCATTCACACAATATAAAACATTATTTTTATAAAACATTATTATTATATTTTTCTTATTTTATTGTTTGTCTCAGAATTCTTTGTGATTCTTTAACATATATAAATTAACTAAATAAACTAAAAAGTTTATCTTCTCATTTATGATTATTTCCTCATTAAAAGCTTGCAAAGATTTTTATAACCAGAGATCAGAGTCAATCACATTTTTTGCATTTAACTCTTTGACTCAAGTGAAAACTCACTTTGCTGTATTGAGTAAGGAGGAGGCTTAGACAGATTTTTATTCCAAATAGCTAACTTATGAACTCACATACATTGTGCAATAAACCTTCATGCCCCATTTAAATGGAATGCATTATTTGTACTTAAACTGATTTCCTTCATATAACCTACAAACCACTTATTTAGAAACTTTAAATAAAGCATTAGAATCTTTTCTTCAAGTAAAATTTCTTTTAAGAGAAACACATGGAAGAAATGCAGGTTGAGAAAGCTGAGCTGCCTGATGTAACCATTTAATCTCTTTGTCTCTGCCCCCTTGCAGAACTGCAAGAAAAATGATTTCTTAACCCCAAATGCACCTTTTCTGTGCTTTCCTGTTTTTTGTGTTTGTGCCCAGATGGACTGCTCTGCCTGCATGCCCTTCACTCATACATTTATGATTACACATCTGTGCATTTGCAAAGAAATCTCCAGTCCTTGGAAGTTTTGTCATCTCTCTCTGAAATCCTAAATACATTTATTTTTCTCTTGAGGGCCCTTCATCATTTATAAGAAATAAAATTGTTGATGCCATATTAAATCTGGGATGAAATATATATGAGTGCAGATATGTTAAAGCAATCACACTGAAAGCACATTTTCCATATGTATGAAAGCAAAATAAATGTGCCTCTACTCACGTGTAAGCTTCGAAGTCCCCATTATTGATGGCTTCAATCAGTTGTTCAGTGACCTTGATAATCTCTTGCTTTCGTGCTAAAGGCAAAGACATATATAGCAATGGGTGAGAACAAAGGACAAAAACCATACAAAATGTTACTCTAATTATTGCTATTTCCCTTAAATAGCATTATCACGTGTGATACACCCTTCAGGGAGGACAGCATGAATGTTCCTTTCTCCAGTCTTGCTGCTTGAAGTGCACAGACTAGCAGCTCCTACCTCTTCTGGGAACTGTTAGAAACACAGATTCTCAGGTCTCCAGACCTACAGATTCAGAGTCTGCTTTTTAACAGGACTCTCAGATGATTCCTGGGCACATTCACCTTTGGGGCACACAACTACATTCCCTTTATTAGAAAATAATAGCTATCTGGAAGGTCAAATTAAGTTTTACTACCTTTTTCAATTTCAGTGAATTTGTGATTATTTTCCTACTCATCATGAACAATAATGTCATTTAAAAAGTTAATAGTAGAGCTGGGCCTAGGTGTATAAACTTAGAAGGCTGAGGCAGGAGAATCACAAGTGCAAGGTCAGCAGCTCAGTGGTAACCCACTGCCCCTGGGTTCATTCCAATTGAAAAAAGAAAGAAAGAAAGAAAAATGATATTAATCTTAAAAAAAAAAACAACTCTAAGAACATATGTCTATCTTCATACTAAATATATCTTGCATTGACTCGTTGAATTTTATGTAATTATTTGCATCTTCTGTTTAGCTCAACCAATCTTACAAAAGAGGCAACACTGTGATTGGCCGTCGTGATATTTAGATAAATGGTATTTTGTAAATTGAAGTAACATAAATGCAGGCAGATGAGAGGATAGAAGTCCCTCTGTACAGCTACCAAACCAACACCAAACATGATTTGTTTCTATTTCAAATTCACAATTGGTAAAACTACTAATAGTTAGTTTGGCTCATAATTCTTTTCTAATTACATAGACTTAAGTGTTCTTCCCTGCTTTTTTGGATGCCTATAGTTCCTGTATCATTCATTTGGCAATTATGTATATGACAAAATCATTTTAGTTAAACCACATTATTACTTGTTTTAAGTTGGTATTAAGCTTTGTATAGTATAACCTGTCTTTTTAGTTAAACGTTTCCTAAAAACAAAGCTTTGGTCATTTCTTAGAATCCCCTGAAAAGCTTTGTCCAATGTCTTTAATAAAATAGATGTTTAATAAGTTTGTGAATTTGGTCAATTCAAACTAAGGATAAACTTTTCTTGATTTCAAAACACTGTCCTTTTACTTACATTTAAAAATTTAAATTTGATTGGATTTTCTTTAAAGAATATTGTGATTCTCCCCTAACGGTACTAAAAATAGTCTAGGGGTGGGGAGTCACAGAAAGTCATCTCCAATCTATCTTAATGAGTCAGTGAAACGGCTATTCATCATAGAAAAACTGACCCTTGGTTTTAGTCCTTTATTCATTAAAAGAACCAGTTTGAATTTTTTTCTGAATCTGATCTTCAGGTTTTAATTGCAAACTTAAAAGTTTGGATTAACTTTTAAACTCCAGATTATCACAGTGATAACTTTCCATATTTAAAAATAAATATTCTATAAATCTAATTTAACTCCACTAAATGAAACTACCTCATAACAAATAAACATGATCATTATATTTGTCCATAAAATGGTTGCTAACAATGTAAAGGTCTACAATATTAAAATAACACCGTATAGGTTAGAATTGCCTAATTTCCTTTCATGAATATAAAATAACAGTCTTTGTTAGCTCCTTCACACATCAAAACCATTCAATGCCTTTGTTCATTTGGTGAATATCAATAATATATCTATCCTCAAAACAAAGTAACAGAAGTAGTAGCCTGAGATAAACCTGAAATAAGGGTGCTGCCAGTGACACATTCTAGCTCAGTTTAGTTAGGCAATAGGTGATTCATCTGTCCGTGGCCTCAACAGTATGACGCTCTGGCAAAGGCTCACAACAGCTGACCTACTTCTGAAATATAAAGGACATCCATAAGGAGGAGTTCAGAAAACTAGGTTCTAAAATGTGGTAACCGTAACCGAAGCATCTTCCTTATAGGAAAGCCTCATTGGAAACTAACAGATTTTTTAAACTATGATATGGCTGACTTGAAAACAATGTCAGTCTTTTATAACCAACAAAAATAAAATAAAATAAAGAGGGAAAGAGGGAGGGAGAGAAAATATAAACATATGATGATTATGTCATCTGTGGACTTTCATTGGGTGAGACTCAGTACTGAGTGTGAAAAGCTCAGGAGCACTTCCTAAAATTTCTGAAAGTCTCCGTGTTCCCTTGCAAGCACACTATGGAATCGGATATATCAGCCATCTCTCACTCTCTGAACCATAGTGCAAACACTCATTTGCTCTCCAACTTCTGCATGCCACAACGGGGCCTCAGCCTTGTCCTGCATATTGAAAGCAACATACATTGTCTTCTCTCCTAGTTCTTATGCTCAGAAACAATGGTGCTTTGGCTGGCAGAACAGCAAATAGGAATTAGCCTGAATGTTTCTGTGCTGTATCACCACAAGAGCAACGTGACTCTCTTGACTTAGGAGGGGCCTGGGACTCAGGAATCTTTAGAGTGCTTATTTCCCTGGGGCAAAGGAGCTTCAGTGAGTCACAGGCGGCACATGACAGCTGAGTCTTTAAAGGAAAGCAGAAGGCTGGAAATGAATCATTTGTATATAGTAGTCAGCTTGTGGTTGGAACTGTTGCTACAAGCCCAGCGTCTGGCCTGGAGGAAGAGGGAGCGGTCCTGCTAGCTAGCTTTCCTCACATCAGCAGGGAGGCAGAGGGACAGTCACTGGGCCAGGTGCATGGCTAGCTCTGCTCTGTGGGGGAGTGTCCACTCTCCTCTGACCTTCCCTTTTCCTGAAGATGAGTAATGCCCACTGCAGAAGTCAAAGTGGGAAGAGCTTGGGATGTGTCCCTACTCGCCCCAAGATGAGGGAAGAGTACACCATTAAGGCATTCCTGAATGTCAGGTGCTTCCTCCACCCCACAGCTGGCCATTTAACCCAGGGAGATGATTACCCGGTAGTTTTATTTCTAGAATTGAGGTGCTCAGGCTCATATCCACAGGTCCCAAAGTCATTTCTGGGGTCTTGCAGTTGGGGAAAAGGAGGACAGAAAAGCAAGGGGAAAAGAGTTTCCAGATTCTGAGTGCAGTTATTGTCCATGCAAACATACAAACAAAGTGGGTAGATTCTCCCACGTAACTTCATATTTTGGCAGCTTTTTTTAACTGTTCAAAGAAGGACTGACAGTAAGATATGGATGTGAATGATCCCAGGCATTGAAAAATAAAAATAAAAACAGACAAACCTACAACTGAGACTAATTTTGTAATAAATCACTTAGAGATTTCTTTCTTTCTT